CTGAAAAATGTGAAAGGAACTAATTACTCGGGGGGCTTTTAATGACAACCATTATGATTTATTTTTGAAATACAGTATAACTTTCCAAGTTCCAGCTTCAATCCTTCTTTTAGACACCCTTGTGGCAAACTGGACAACAACATTTCACTTATCTGCTGCCTCTTGTGATCTGTAGTGGATCACTGTAGGGCTCTTGACTGCCCTCTACTACAACAACTATCTCTTTGGAAGTTTTCTTGCCACCACTCATAGTCTTCTTTAATTACATCTATTATTATGTCTTCTCAAATTCATTATATCATTCTTTGTTAAAGGCCCATTTGCTTCCTGTCACTTTTTCAGCAAGTGGTTATTAGACATAAAAATACCCAGGATTCTTTGGGGGGAAAAAAGATTCATTCTTAGCAAAAACATGGCTCATTCTAAGGCAAAATGTGGCCAAAAGCTATTTTTCTTAGCAAAATGGAAAATAAAGAAGACAAACTGTGACTAGATTAGCAAATTTGCTGTGAAGTAGAACGAATGAATTTGAACTTTTAAAAACTGATCACAAGACACAAAGGCCAGTGTGAATCAGCCCAGCCCTCTGCTGTTGAGGGCTTTTGCTTGTTAAAGCTGGAGTGATTTGAATGATGCTTTCCCCATGCAATCAGTTGTTTCATTCTCCAAAAGGACAGGGGAGGGGCATTACCGGGGGGGGCAGTATTCTGGTGACGTACTAAAGTGGTTGTGATGTTTCGGACAGCGAGAACATCCACAATCCCATGACCTTGGTTCTTCCTTGCCCCAAAGTGTGTGTGTGTGTGTGTGTGTGTGTGTGTGTTTAGTTCTAGATCACTTCATCACTACGTTGATACATTAGTTTAGTGCAGCGGTTAGGGAATGGGGTAAAAATGAAAATCCTGGGGGTAATGAGGACGGTCACAGCAGGCATTTTACCCCCAGGCATTTTATTTCCAACGATGCTGTGTATAGGCGGGTGTTCTGTTGCGGGAAGAACGAGCCCTGGCGAAGAACTGCACAGGGCACCCGCCTGCCCTCCTCGCCTCCAAAGTGTGTGTGGGGGGAGGGCGGCGTATCAGGCCAGCTGGACTCTTTGCCCGGCAGAACCCTGGCTGGGGCTTTCCTTCTTGCCCGTGCGCACCTGCCTGGTGCGTGGGTGAGGATGCCCCCTTCCCATCCCACCTCACTTGAGCTCATGGCCAGTGGACCTGCTGGCCCTGCAGTGCCCACCTCCCCTAGCCAAGGACGCACTTTCCCAGCGGTGTGGCGGCTCCACACTGGCTGCCCGGGTGGTGGCCGCAGGTCCCGGGCGAGTGCAGAGGCGGGGGGAGGTTGGCAGCGGACAGCGAGAGCCAAGGGGTGTGTGTTAATGTCGACGTATATAAAATTTGGGGGGGGGGTAAAAGGTAAAAAAGTTCCCTGACTCCTGGTTTAGTGCTAGACTACTTTTGTACGGACAAAAAACCAGATGGACAGAAAATGATATAAAATAGAAAAAAACTCCAAAGAGCTACAGCAGACTATTATCTTTCTGTGGGATGTGTCTATGTGTTTATATGTTGTGGAGAACTTTGGAAAAATGTTCATTTCCCCTAGTGCCATGTAACACTTTAAACAGCCCACCAGCTTTATAATGACCCATAAAAGGAGAGCTGGGGATTCCCAGCAGGCAGGATCAAAGGAAAGAGGGCTGTGGGCTGTGATGCAGATCAAACCACATGGAATAGAGGGGCCAGTGTGGGCACTAGCCCCAAAACAATTTCCAGTCTCTGTTTGGTCACCTTATCCAGAAGCAGCTGTGAATCAAGCTGCAATAAAGACAAATATCTTCAATTTAGCTTGCCAGTGGACTTGCACCCTCAGTTAAACTAAGCAATTTCTCTGTCCCAAGTCATCAACTCCAAATGACCACCATTCGCTAGGATGGTTCTTTCCTGGTTCTCCTTGCTGAGCCCTGGCAATCCCTGGCGGTTGCCCACCCAGCTGCAAACCAAGCCCAGGCCTGCTTAGCTTATGAAAACTGTCAAGACTGAGTGTGCTCCAGGTTGTATGGTAGCACTGGCATGAGCAGATATCCTTTGGATGGAATTCTTACAGCAGAATCTAATAAATATTTACTCTGAGTAAGCCCAAGGGATTTCAGAAGGACTCGCCTGTGCATAAGATGGATATAGGAGTACAGGATAGTTATTCCTATAATTTGAATGCTAACCATTTCATGTTTTCCATGTTTAGAAGTTTCCTTTTAGCATCTGCATCCTGTGAGTTTTGACTTTATAGGCTTAGTCATACTTAGGGTGCAACTACACAGCGAGATAAATGCTGTGAAGTCACACTGGGGAATTAAGGTTCCCTGCATTTGTTCATCTTAACTGGCCAGATAGGGAAAAAAATGGGCTAAATAGCCTTGTTTGCAACTCTTCTGGAGCCCTGCAGGAGATGCAGATACAGAAGAACTACGGTACTTAATAAGCTGTAAACGAGGCAGAATGGCAATTACTTCCTCTTATTCTCTCTCTCTTTCTGGTGTCTAGGTGCCTTAAAACAATGTCCACACCAGGTTGGTGTTTCTAAAGAAATGGTATTGTTTGTAAAGATGACAATTTTACAGAGAGAGGGAGGGAGAGAATAAAGGGTGAAAATTGCCATTTTCTTGCTTCCCTCCAGCCTTCATGACATCATGCCAACCACAGGCTTTCCCCTCCTTTGGGACTCCATACAACTGTCATTTGCTTTCGGTTGTGTGTTTGTGCTTGTTCACATTGGCTTTTACATCATGTGGTCAACAAAAAAAAAATGCAAATCAGTCCTTCCCAATACTGTTGCACTTCTGGCATTTGTTGCCAACGTGGTCACACTCTTAGTCTCTAGGTACTCAACCAATATTCTATAGTCTTTTTTTCTCCTAACCTTTTCCATGACTACCTTCCACAGTTCACTGTCCAGCCATCAGCTGTGTCAACATCAATGTACATTGCCTTCCAGGATTTAAGAAGAGGGCTCCATCATGGAGGATAAGGTAATTTCTTTTGTCAGTCAAATGCTCCATTCTGAGTTACCTCTCAAATAATATCAGTTTGCAATCTAAAGCAATTATGTAACCCATACATAACTTTTCACACTATCCTGGAGGGTCTCCTGTCCTTTCCCGACATATTTTTAGGAGGCACTGGGAGTTGCTGCATAAGGTGTAAAGCACGTCTTCCTCCGTAAATTCCTCATATGGATATTATTAGTTGTAAATCCGATAAATAAGCAAAGTTCTGTTCATGAGACATCTGGTTCAAACCAACAGTTTTGAAGTAAACACTTTGCAAAAAATGCAGGACACAGGATGGGAGGAAGTGCCCACCGTCCCACTCTTATGGTGGAGGCAAGAACTCTGAAGGGGCTGGACGGTCCTCAGTTGGAAATGAGAGGATTTGTTTTATACCCCTAAGCCTTAATAATACCTGGCTATATTCGGTATGTGGCTTATTATGAATGAATCTAAGACCATGCTATGTTTCTTACCCCCTCCCCTATTTGACACCTGCCACACACATAACACAAACCACACTGCAACACCCATCTCTGTAGGGAGGAGGTGAACTATTTGCCTACCCCATTGTATTAAAAGGTTTGAACCGTTCAGTTGCCAAGTGTGAAAATCCATGATAGCATCGACATGAACCTGCAGCGTTAGACTCAAAAACATTTTCTGCTACCGTTTTTAATTATTTATATATTCCTCTTCACAACCAGATTTGAGGGGGAGGAAATCTGCCTCTGGATATCAAGCTCTCTTTTTTTATGTAAATAAAACCTGCTCATGTTTGACACCCAAAGGCAGCTATTTGTTTCACAGTAGAGTTTCACAGCTGAATGGCATAATTAACGGTGACCTTGTGCACAGGTGACCTTGATTTAAGTACCCCAAGACCTTACAGCTTGATTTATCAGGGCTGCAGAGTTTCAGACCAAGATCATTTGCTTGTTTCGTAGACGAGCAACAAGTGTTAGAGTAAATGTGGCTGTTTATCAAGCTGTTGTGTATGAGTGTTGTTGTTTTTTCTTAAAAAATAACAGCACATAGATAGGCCAACAGGTTTCATTATACCACCCCTTCCGTATTTCAGAAATCATTAACTTGGCTGCAACAGTTTTTTTTAATGATATATGATAATGAAGTAATAAAATCCATAAACCTCTTATCTAAACCAACATTTGGAAGCTGCATTTATACAGCTCTGTGTAGCATCTGGGTTCTTCTGTGCCATTTTTGATCTGTTTAGAGAAGCTGATTAAATTTGAACACAAAGAAAAACAGGAAACTCTTTTCCAAAGAGAACAGCTTGGCATAGCTTCAAGAAAAATATATGCAAACCACTTGCAGATAGTTTGTAATGAATTGCAACCCCGAAGATGTCGCTTAAATTTTCATATATTTTGGACTATGGATCATATGCATGTCTGCACTGCTGTTCTACATAGAGGGGTTTGGCTGATGTTCGGCTGGCTGGCGCTGTGGTTGACCTTTGGATATGACCAGCTTGCCACAAAGGAACATTTCCATATTTTTTATGCAGATCCAGGAAAATGGCTTATCAGAGAAGCACCTTGCATTTATTCAGAGAAGGGGACACTCTTTTAACAACTTCAATAACATCTTCTTTCAAAGATGCAGGTGCTGCAGTTCTCAAATTATGTTTGTGCCCAATGATGCAACATGATTTACAAGAAGGCTCTTGTGTCTTTATAAAGCCACATAAAAATAATCTGCTAGGTGAAACTGGGCAGCACACCTGACATGGCACTGTTGTATATGACAGCCATCTAGAATGTCAATATCACTTTCTCTGCAATTGCTAGTAGCAACAATAATTAGTATTACCATTACCATTACAATCATCACCACTACCATCACCACCACCACCACTACTACTACTACTAGTAGTAATAGTAGTAATAGTAATAGTAATGGTGGCGGTAGTCTAACAGCTCCTTCTTAAAATTACCTGAACAGATTTGTGCTGACACTGGTATTGAGAATTCTGTGATGAGCTTGTTTCTGCTTTCTCAAATTGGTTCTTCACACTTGCCAAGCCTCCAGGTATCGTGCAAGCCTCTGATTCCTCAAGAGCCTGGTGGGGAAAAGAAAACAAGCCTGTCTACTCAATATACAGTAATTAACACACTCACAACATTGTCGTCCTCATTCATTTTAACAGTCACATTGTTCTGGAAGTCTGCATTTCTGTTAGTCTTTTCTTACAATTATAAATATCTGTTTGTGTGATCCATACTGGTCAAAGATTTTTTAAAAATGACTTGGGTTTGCAAGTAGCCTGTGTAGGTCTACTCAGAACTAAGTGCTCTGAGTTCTGGCACTGTTGCATCCAGGTAGGTGGATATGGGGCTGGAGCCTTAGGTCACATCCCTAACTGGCCAGGGTGATTGAGAGCCAGCTGAACCCTCACTAGGGCAGGTGAAGGAGTGATGAATTCAAACTAAAGTTGGGGGTATTTGTATACAAATACAACTATCCCCGTGCAGCTGGACTTATGAAGGATCTGGCCCCTGGGGCTGGACCATCCACTAACATATCTGGCAGTGGTGGTGGCCCCACTCGTCCTTCCAGTTGAACCCAGAACGCTGCTCTCTTCCCACTCAGCTGGTCACTCGGCAGCTGTGCAGGGAGATGTGTTCTCCCTCCCCTTGCCTGGAGTGGCTAGCCGAGCAGGAAGAGAGCGGGGCTCTGGATGCGACTGGAAGGATAAGTGGGGCCACTGCCAGACACATGAGTGGATGGTTCAGCCCTGGAGTCCAGACCGTCATTAAATCCAGCTGCCCAGAGATATTTGTATTCATATACCAATACCCCCATCTCTAATCCAAACCTATCCCAGTTGAAGGATTTTGAACATTACTCAGGACGACTCTCACCTAAGACAATGTGGAACAGTGGATACAGTGGCAGACTATGACATGGGTGATCTGTGTATCAGTTCCCACTTAGCTATGGATATGCAGTGTTAAACCATCCTTTCAACATCTCACATACCTTGAAAGCCCTATTGGGGATGCCAGAAGCAGCTTGATGACACATAATAACTCTGACCATGACCTAAATCTGTGCTGGCAGAGTAGTTGTGTGTCCCTGAGATGAAAGAGGTTTGGATCTGTCATGAGTGGGCCTCTTTCTCAGCTTATGTTTTCCCTACATTTTTAAAGCTTTTCTGAGGCCACCTGTCTGCCAGCACAAGGACAATCATGCCAGAAGAAGAGGCCTCTTGCCTGTTCCAAAACCCAGAAAAGCTTGTGCATATTTGAATTAGAACAGAACTGTTACTTAATTAAAACTCCGTTTCTGTCTCTTACAAATTTCACTTCTTCACTTTGTAGCTTTAAAAAAATCATTTCCCAGGGGAATGCAAAAATGTTTAAAATATTAAAGGTGTTATGAAGAAAAGATGTAAAATATTCACTGTGTGCTGCCCTTTGTTCTGTTTTTTTTTAAAAAAACTTTGTCTTGGTTTATAAGTAAAGTGCATTTGGGTGCCTGACAGGTCAACACTATTCATAATGTTCCAAGAGCAGCACATTCACAAACATTTCTTAATAAGTCATGCCAATGTTATGCAGCAAACCCATTACGAGAGTGTCAGCAAAATACTTAAAATATGAATAGGCTATACATCGTGGAGATTCATACCCAGGAGCTTATTACCTCATTGATTTAGAAGATTAAAGGTACACAAAGAATAAGCAGCCTTCAGAATCTCCTAATCCAGCGCTTCTTGGGTACCCATTAGCTCCTTTATACTATTCGGTGTTCTGAAGCAAGGAAGAGACTCTGTTGTCACAGTGCTATGAATTAATCTCTCTCTCTCTGTTTTTTAGAACCATCACGGGAAATCTCAGAGGCTTCTTCCATAATGGCTAAGGATTAGTGGAAGAATGGAGACCGCAATTTGTGCTTGGGAAGAAGTTTATAGGGACACCGATGCTGAAGCTCAGGGACAAATTGGAAACCGGGATTCTGGTGAGACCATAAAAACCTCGGTCTGGATCTTAGCTGTCCGTAACACAACCGAAAGCTCCTTTACTCCTGACGAAAAGAACAATACCTAATCATTGCTCCTTAGGATCTTCCCATTACCTATTAATCTTACTTTATGTCAACTTGAATGGGGAGCTGTTGCTTTTAACAGCTTGTCAGCCGGTGCTGAAAACCTCTGGCCTTCCCAGAGTCGTTGGGATGATGACATCTCAGCTCCGTCCTCTCTTACCGTTGGCTGTCTTGCCCAGATTGAATGGGAGCTACAGCCCAACAAGACCCAAAAGGCCACCTGTTGCCCAGCAGGGGCGTGAATCTTACAACTTCTCGCTCTCAGATTGAAATCAAAGGGGGTGAGGAAAATCCTTAGGTGTTTTTTTTTGTTTGTTTGTTTGTGTTTTGTCTGTGGGAGGATTTTTCCTTCCTGAGAAATCTCAAGAGACGGCTTGTGGGCTTTCTCAGGTGTGTTTTATGGGCATTTTTTTTAAAAGAAAGAAAGAAAAAGCCAAACTGAGAAGGTTTGCTGCCGTACCTGCAGAGAATGGCATATTTTCCGCACAAGGAAATGGCATTAGGGTGCTCAACGTTTGCCCTCTTCCTGATCTATTCAAATGGATGACAAATGAAAGAAAAACTGTGCGGGGGCAGAGGAGGGTGACACAAGGGTATCTTCAGATTTGGAAAATTATTGAGAAGAAGAAATTTCACAAGTAGTCATCACATTCTTCTTCACCACCTGTGTTGTACAGAGGGGGGAATGATCCACAGCTCCTGGTGATGAGGAGGACAGAGGATGACTCTGTAGGGTAATAGTTGGGCTCACTGTTCAACAAATTAAGTTTCTGCCCTGCTTCCGGTGGAACACAGTCATGTGAGATCTTTTACCGGCTGCTGATTTGTCTCAATAGAACCATTGCTGCTACTGTGAGAAGCCAAGCCCGCTCTTGCCAAGTAGCACAAGGAGGAAGAGATGGGCGTTGAGAACAAACAGGCAGAGGCTGTATAGTCTAAGAACTGAATTCTGTCTCGGTTACTTCTTTGTAAGCAAGTTCTGGGCTTTCCTTCTGCCAGGGGATGTGAACCACCCTGGCCGAAGGTAAAGGTAAAGGTTCCCCTTGACAATTTTTGTCCAGTCGTGTTCGACTCTAGGGGGCAGTGCTCATCCCCGTTTCCAAGCCATAGAGCCAGCGTTTTGTCCGAAGACAATCTTCCGTGGTCACATGGCCAGTGCGACTTAGACTCGCATTTTTACATGCTTTTGAACTGCTAGGTTGGCGGGAGCTGGGACAAGCGACGGGTGCTCACTCCGTCATGTGGATTCGATCTTACAGCTGAAGAACTACAGACCATACAGCACAGAGGCTTCTGTGGTTTAACCTGCAGTGCCACCACATCCCCCCCCCCGGCAGAAGAGCTCTGGACAATTCAAAAGAAAACATGTATCAATCCCTCTTCATATACCTAACATATGCTTCCATAATAGCAATACTTTCTTTTGGAAATTGATGTGGGTTCCACACCATCTCTTTGAACAAGATGCAAAGAGTGGAGGTGAATTTGGCTTTCCTGATCTCAGTTTATGTCACCAGGCTTATTTCCTAACTTATACTAATTACTGGAACTGTATCTCACAGATTAATTATCCATGTTGGGCCCCCTTGGAGACTTTCCTATCTGGTACCCTCTCCAAGTGGATGACTTGGGGGTTAACACATGTTAAAACAAACTCTATTCTTGTGCAGCAAAGAGAACTGTGGAACATATTGTCACAACAGTTTCGATTTGACCCATTTTCACACACTAAATTAACACTATGGGGCAATCCAGACTTAAGAATTGGGAAGAAGCCTTTTTATGGAGGATTTGGGCAGATGACAGAGCACTTCTCATTTAGACCAATTAATTGGACATAATGATGATGAATTTTTACCATTTTGTAGTTCGGCAGTTAGATATGACTTGCCAACATCAGCTGAATGGTAGTATTTACAGCTGAAGCATTTGCTGGTGTCTAAATATGGGCCAGCAGCACTTAATGTCTCAGAGTCTCCTGTGCACTCGGAAATGCTTATTGAACCAGTTCAGGAGAAGAAATCCAGATTATTAATCTATAAATATCTGTTACCAGTTAATAAATGTGATGCACAAGGTTTTAGGGATGAATGGAACAGGGAAATGAATCACTCTGTCTTGCTCAACCTAACGGAAGGCTGTGTTAGCCAGTACATTTGTTGTATCTATGGATCTCAGTGGCCTGAAATCGTGGAAACCTGCTGCCAGTCATAGCAGATTACAGAAATAGATAGTGGTCTTATTTGATAGAAGGCAACTTCCCATTTTTCACATTTCACATTGGTTACATGTGTTGACCCTACCAGTCACTGTATCAACAACCAAATGCAATGAGGAAATCTGTGAATACAGTGTAAACATGGAAAAGAAGAAACACTGCTCAGTTGGCTGTCCAAGTAACATGCAGAAGATATGCATGCCTCTCTCTCTCTCTCTCTCCCTCTTCCTCCCTCTCTCTCTCTGTGTAATCAATCTCTTCCACAATGAACAGTGGGGTTGGCACTGCCCTCTTCACTGGGATTTATAGATCTCATATCTCTTTGCATGTTATTATGGAGATGCTGCAAGAGAAAAAGAAGAGGAAGAGGGCTGATTTTATTGACCTCCTTATTCTGGTGCTTGCTTGTAAGTGTCATTGATTCAGTATAGTGAGTCTAGTTGTGATTCACTCTGCTGAACTGACTTCTGTTCTTCCATGGTCTGTTGCGGCATGGCATGTCGGGCTTTGACTCCACCCAAACATAAATGGAAACCAACAACATTGTGGTAAAAGGGGTCAATGTGCAATGACCTATATTAGATTATCCCACAAGCTACTCAGTGGACTACTCTGTTCTTTCTCCTACCACACACCATGGTTGATAGTACTTGGTTTGAAATTTTCTCTGGCAAAAAGTTTCATCTGTTGCAAGCAAGCATGTGTAAAATGAGCTGAAAAACCCCTTCTGATTAAGTATGAAGAAACTTCATTTCCTAATTGCATGTAGACCCTCAGGACACATTTTCACCATT